GATAGGATAGGAAAGGATAGAAAGATGATAGGTACATAGAAAGATAGATGATAGTAATAGTGCTTAGACTTACATACCACTTCACAGTGCTTTACAGTCCCCTCTAAGCAGTTTACAGAGTCAGCCTCTTGCCCCCAACAATCTGGATCCTTATTTTACCCACCTTGGAAGGAGGGAAGGCTGAGTCAACCTTGAGCTGGGATGGATGGATGGGTGGATAGGAAGGAAGGAAGGAAGGAAGGAAGGAAGGAAGGAAGGAAGGAAGGAAGGAAGTAAAAAATAGCAATAGTACTTCACAGCCCTCTCTAAGCAGTTGACAGTCAGCCTCTTGCCCCCAACAATCTGGGTCCTCATTTTACCCACCTCAGAAGGATGAAAGGCTGAGTCAACCTGGAGCCTGGTGAGATTCGAACTGCCAAATTGCAGGCTGCTGGCAGATAGCAGAAGGAGCCTGCAGTATTGCACTTTAACCACTGTGCCACGGTGGGTCATAATGAAAGGTAGGATAGGAAGATGGATTGATGGATAGATAGATATTTTAACATTTAATGGTTTATCTTGTATTTATTTGGTTGTGTGCCACATGGAATTGACTCCTGGCGAGATGAGCATCTTCATAAATAAATAAAAATAAATTATATTAAAATAAAATGAGGTTGCCTGCAAAAGAGTCCCACGTGGGACTGAGCTAACAACAAAGATAAGCAGCTAATTGCATGATTATTGACCACACTTGCTTACTTCAGGCCATATTTTGATTACAAGAAACCAGCTCATAACTCTCCATTTTTCCTAATGCTTATTTTCTTCTGAATATTTAAGGAATATTGACTCAGGAGCTGTTTTGAGTGACCAGAAGCCTTCGGTGTCAAAATCTGGAAGAAAAATCAGAGGGAGAGGCACAATAGTATGTTTTTCTTCTTAAATTCAGATTTACATCTTGAGAGTTTTTATTTTTAAAAGCACTGAAAGATTGTTCTTGCTCGATTAACTTAAGTCATGATATATAAATTTGGGCTGTGTAGCAGCGATGACCATTTGTCACAACTGGAGGACTATGTGTAGATTTTCTGTTCTGGAGCACAATTCTCTTGCACGGCAGCTCCTTTTCTTGCCTTACCCCATATCTGCAAGCAATCTTCATTACTCCTGAACATGTACAAGCAGCAGAATAACGGTAACAGAGTTGGAAGGGGGGCTCTTCTAGTCCAACCTCCTGCTCAAGCAGAAAACCCTATGTCATTCCAGACAAATGGCTGACCAGTCTCTTCTTAAAAACCTCCAGTGAGGGAGCACCCACAGCTTCTTGTGTCAAGCTGTTCCACTGTTTAATTGTTCTCAGTGTGAGGAAATTCCTCCTTAGTTCTAGATTGGTTCTTTCCTTGACGAGTTCTTTCTTGTTTTGCCTTCTGATGCTGTGGAGAATAGGTTGACCCCCTCTTCTCTGTGACAGCCCCTCAAATATTGGAAGACTGCTAGCATGTCACTTCCTAGTCCTCCTTTTCATTAAACAAGATATGCCCACAATTCCTGCAACTGTTTAGCCTCCAGATCTCTAATCATCCTTCCTGCTCTTCTCTGCACTCTTTTTTAAATTGCAGCAATCAAAACTTGACGCAATATTCCAAGTATGGTCTTGCCAGGGACTAATTAAATGGTATTAACACATGTGATCTTAATTCTATCCTTCTGTTAATGCAGCCTAGGATTGCGTTAGGGCTTTTTGGGGGAGGGGGCTGCTGCTGCACCCTTCTGGCTCATATTGAAGTGCTTGTCCACTAGGCCTCCCAAGACCCCTCTCATAGTTACTGCTATCAAGCCAGGTTTCACCTAGTCTGTGGATTTGATGTAGATTTGTTATCCTATTGCATTTTTTTTCTAGAGATACCATACGCCGCCTCATTCTCGTTCATGCACAGAATCAGATAACAATGGAAGTAGCGAAACACCACCCCACTGGAAAGAGGAAATGCAGAGATTGAGAGCTTATAGGGCCCCCAGTGGAGAAAAGTGGAGTAAAGGAGATAAGTAAGAATTTGCCGACAATTTTGTCTTCCTGAAATGTCATGTTTTGTGAGAACAATGTGTTTTAGATGTGAAAGTTCAGAAGAAAAAACACATTTGCAACTTTTGGCTTGTGCAAGACAAGAATCTGGGGACTAACTCGTAAAGCAGAGTTAAAGATAAAATGTCTGACTTTCCATTTCTTAACTGAGGGAGCCAGTGTATTCTGAAGATATTTCTTCAAGTTCATGTGGCTAGCACGATCATATGCCAAGGTGAATTGTTAGCTTCCAACCAAAGCGGTACCTGTTTATCTACTCGCATTTGCAGACTTTTGAACTACTAGGTGGGCAGGAGCTGGGACAAGGAAAGGATGGGAGGCCAGCCTGTCACACGGCACTCGGGTCTCGAACCCGGGCTGCCATCTTTCTGGCTGACAAGTTTCAGCACCTTTAACCGCTGAGCCACCGCACTCCATAAAGCAGATGTGCAGGCCTAAACCTACTCAAAAGTACAACTCTGGTGCTCTGGGATGCAAGCGGAGTCATTTCTGGATTATTGTGGGTGAGGACACTTGCAAAAATGCTTCCCTCTGAAGGATCGCCCATTTATGCCGCTTCAAACCAGCGATTGAAATTAGATAACAGGCTTAGTTTGGGCATTGCTCAAATCATTTTGGGTAGGTTTAGCCCATCTGACTGGCACATAGAAGCGCTGCAGAGTTTGATCCCCAAGGGGAGCTAAGCACCATAGTTAAAAGAGGTCGCTTTCTCTTTGGATTGCCTTGTTCAAACCGGGGACATAGATTGCCAAAATAGTATCATCAGTGCCCCTAATTCTATTGCCAAATGTTACAGCTGCAAGTCCTCTCCTACAGGGTATCTGTACAATTTAACCATAAATCAAACCTAGATGGGCCTTTTCTGGGACCTACCCCCAATTGGCTCTGCTGGGAGGAAGATTTTTACGGGACTCCTTATTTGCAGAGTCGTTTCTTCTTGTTAATCGAGGGTAACAAAACAAATCTTGATCATATCTCCATACCCAAGGCCGGGTCTGATAGTCCCAGTCGTTTACAAATGGCCAGGCACGCTTATCAGTTTTATGCTCTTTTTTTTTTTAAAGGAATGCTAACCCCCAAACTCTCACACCAGGTGGCTAAAACATCTTCACCTGGTTGTACAACTGCACGAAACTTTTAATTGGATACATAGGTTTAACTTTTTCCTAAACCCTCCCCCCGGTCCAGCCATCCTCTGTGTGTTAAAAATTATTTTAGTGAATTCTTTTTATTTTTGGAAAAGCTGTTCAAAGACCAAAACAAAGATAAGTTTGTTCTCACCCCACCCTTAGGCTGAGCGACCCAGGAAGGTGGGACGAAAGAAGTCTGTCCCCTCGGTCCCGTTCTTGGTCCCACAACGGCTTTTCAGACCTCAGTAGTGCTCAACATGTCGGCCATCGTAAAAAACACCGGAAAGAGAAAAAAGCGAAGCACAAGAAGAAAGCTAAAAAGCAAAAACATTTAAAGAAGCACAAACAGGTGAAGAAGAAACGGTCTCCTTCCACCGAAGTAGAATCCTCCCCTTCTTCTGCCAGAAGGACAAAATCGTTGTGTGACCGGGAAAGAGCATCGCATTCTTCCTCCTTGACATCTAAAGACGATTCTTCTAGAAGAGGCTGGTCCAAATCCGAGCGAGACAAGCAGAGCTCGGCCTCTTTCTCCAGCAGAGATTCTCGCTCGTATTACAAGTCTCGATCTCGGTCCAGGTCGAGATCTTATTCCCGAAGTTCTCAATCGAGAAACGCTCACGTGTCCTCGCGTTCAAAGAGCAGGTCAAGATCCAGTTCTGCCTCGAAGCCGGTGAAAGCAGTCCCCAACTCACCCCAAAATGCGGCAGCTCATTTAAAGAAGTGTAAGCTGGTCTCCACTGAACCGGTACGAACAGCGTTACCCCAAAATGATAAACTCGCTATTCAGCCCGTGGTTGCCGAAAGCCTCCCAGTTATCCCACTGAGCGATAGTCCTCCACCTTCCAGATGGAAACCGGGGCAAAAACCGTGGAAACCATCTTACGAGCGTCTCCAGGAAATGAAAGCCAAGGCCACTCACCTGCCACCTGCTCAAATGAATTACAGCTTAATCGGCATCCAAGACCCCGGACCTTCCTCTTCCTATCCTAAGCAGCAAAAGAGCTCAGAGAGCGACCGGAGCCGTTACTCCAAAATCCAGAGCAACAGAAGCTCAGGTAGCTGGTGGAAATCTAGAAGCAGGAATTCACGAAGTCGGTCCTCCTCCAAGTCCTACTCTAGATCAAGAAGCCGTTCCAGTTTGAGATCCCGATCCACCGTGAGATCCCGCTCAGGGAATCCGTTCCCCAGCGACCGGTCATGCTACAGCGGATCCTCCTCTTACTTTTCCCTCAGCGAAGATGACCGACAGAAAAGCCGGACCAAGTTGGAATCCCGCGAGAGAAATTCCGAGCTATCCAAGAAAAGGCAGAGCAGTTCGGAGAGCACACTTCCCTACGTGAAAGGCGTGAGCTCGTCGAAGCCTCGAAGCGCAAGCAGATCGTCCATCGATTCCTCGACCGAAAGTGAACAATTGACTCCATCCCAGGCCGTTGAAGAAAAAGGAGAATTAAGGTCTGAAAAAGTGACCCGGAAGCAAAACAAAAGAAGTTTGAGTTGCAATGAGAGTGAAGAGAAATCTCGGTCTGGGCAGGACAGCCACCGTTCCAAGCAAAAAGTTTTGAAAGACAAATCTCAGGCTCTTAGAAGTGGCCGGAAAGCCAAAACGAAAAACTATATGAGCGATGAGTTGCATTCCGGACCAAATTCTGAAATAGAAGAAACCCAAAATTACAAAGGGAACTTGAGACTCTTGTCTGCAAAAGAGGAAGGCGAGGCCTCATCGGACTCCGATACGGATCCCCACCCAACCGTCAAGTGCAGGTCCAAATCTGTACCTGACCCAGATATGTCAAAAGAGAACAAACATCCTTCCTCTTCAGAAACCGTGACCTCTGATTCCGATGCAGACTCCAGGGACAAATCCTGGAAGCCAAAGCGAAGTTTCAGAAAACCCTTCCGAAAAGTCCACGCCAAAAAGGCAAAGGAAAAACCCAAAAGCAAAAAAGAGAAGAAACACAAGGCTGAAAAACGAAAAGAGACATTCCATTGGCAGCCACCCTTAGAATTTGGAGAAGAGGAGGAGGAGGAGGAGGAGGAGAAAGTCAGCGTCAGAAAATGTGGAATAAAAGAAGTGCAAGAGAAACACGCTAAAAAGGAAACCAAAGAGAAAAATAAAGATCCAGATTCCAAAAGTGATAAGACGATGAAAGAACATGTGAAGGATGATCGGATCTCCCACAAAGAGCCGGTCCTCTCAAAGAGAGGAGGAGATCAAGCCGCGTCCACTAACCAACTGAATAAAAGCAGTGAAGAAAAAGTTATTTCTTCAACTCATGTTCCATACCCAATTAAAAATACCTCTGTTTCCAAAAGTCCCACGGCAGCTCAGGAGAAAAATGGAAACGAACAGGTTGCTATAGATGATATGGAGATTTGTACTCCAGACCATAATTCGCCTGTGAAAGTGCACCTGCAACTTTCTCCAGTGAGCCTAAAGTTAAATTTCCAAGACATTAATAAAGCCAGCACCAGTTCCCAGGCGGCAGTTAGCACTGTAACCCAGAATGTAAGACAAGCCGTTGACACTAAGGGACGGACTAATCTCCAAGAAGGCAGTGAAGAACGAGACGGGGAAAAACAGAAAGCTGCCACCAGCATTGAAACCATGCTTAAAGTGGATGTTTCTGAAAATGCATCAAGCAGTGTCGGGGACAAGAAGTGGAAACCGTTACAGGGTGCCGGAAATCTGCAGCTCCCAGCGCCCGCTAGCAATCTTTTTGAAATGAAAAACATGGCTTCCAGCTCCTCTGATCCCAAACTGCCAGGTTTAAGGATCGAGATTAAAAGTAAAAACAAGATTAGGCCAGGCTCCCTGTTTGATGAAGTCAGAAAGACAGCACGTTTGAATCGGAGACCCCGTAACCACGAGAGCTCGAGTGAAGAAGATTCTCCGACACGAGAGGACAGTCAGTCCAGAAGTCGGAGTTGCTCGCGCAGCAAATCGGATGTTAAATCCAGGCACCGGACAAGATCACTGTCTTACAGTCATTCACGAAGTCAGTCGAGGAGCTCCACGTACTCCTATAGGTGAGTACGTTCGTTCGTTCGTTCGTTCGTTCGTTCATTCATTCATGTCCTGCCTTGATTATTTTTATGAATAAACCCAAGACAGCAAACGTATCCAGCAGTTTCCCCCTCCAGTTTTTTCCACAACAATATCCCTGTGAGGTGTGTTTGCCTGAGAACGTGGCAGGCCTAAGACCACTTACGTAGGACTAGAACTCACTTTTTCTTGGTGATTGACCCACAGTCGCCCAGCCACCTTTTGCGTCTAAGGTGGTGCTAGAACATCCCTTGGTGATTGGCCCAAAGTTATCCATCAGGTTTTTGTGGCTAAAGCGAGACTGCAACTCACCATTTCCCAGTGATTGGTCCGAAGTCTTCCAGCCAGCCTTGGTGCCTAAGTCAGGACTAGAACTTAACACTCTCTTGGTGCTAGATGGCTTTCATGACTAAGTCAGGACTCGAATTTTATTGTATGTATTTTTAAAGGGCATGTCTTTTTTTCAGATACGTTTTTCCTCCCCCACAACCCATTTCTTACACAGATCCCGGAGTTACTCAAGAAGCCCAAGCAGAGGGTGGCACAGTGGTGGCCGCTCAAGAAGTCGAAGCAGCTCTTACAACAGTTGCAGAAGTTACAGGTAAGTTGTTTTTTCAAAGGAAAAGGACTGGAGAAATTTATAGAAGCCGTGATGGCGCAAGCGTTTGGACGGCAGTATTGCAGGCAAATTCATTGCCCACCGTCAGGAGTTTGATCCTGCCTGGCTCAATGACTCGGCCTTCCAACCTTCCGAGATTGGTAAAATGAGGACCCAGATTGTTGAGGGTAAGATGATGACATTTGTAAACTGCTTAGAGAGTGCTCTAATGTCTAAGGCATGATAAAGCAGTATATAAATCTTAAGTGCTATTGTTAAGGGCTGTATCGAGAAGTTGAGAGAGCAGCTTTGACCAATGCTGTAGTGAAATATTTGTGTTTTGTGGACAACGTATGTGCAGTCGCCAAGGGCTGAGCTGAGCTGAAGTGGGGAAGAATCTACATCGTTTTAAGACTGGAGTGGGAATTAAAAACAAGACAAATGGAAAAAAAAATAGTAGTGGCAAACAACTTTCAAATTACAGTTAGTCCCTGACTTAGAACTGTAATGGAGCCTGCCCATGTGACCGGTCTGGTTTTTATGGCCTTTTTGGGCGGCGGTTGTTGAACAAACACCGCAGTCATAAAGTGAACAAAACGTGGTTGTTCAGTGAACCGGTAATTCATTATGGGCTGCTTTCATTGAAAACTGGAAATAAGTGCCACTTTTGGGGCAACCTCCCCCCAAAAAAAACCCTATTGTAAAACGTGGTCACATGAGCACCGAATGCTGCAGACAACTGTAAAAGCAGACCAGTTTCCATGTGATTGGTAGGAAGTTACAACTTCGAATGGTCAGTAAGTGACCAGTTATCAGTGGAGGGCTGCCTGTATTGGCCCCAAACCTTCACGACTGCGTCCTTCAGCTCATTCTGAAAAAGAGATGGTATTTTTACTTGAAGCCTAGCTTGGTTCAGGGCCAGAGCCCCTCTGTTTAGTGACCAGTTTCCTGTCAACAAGGGAAGAATTTGAATTCTCGGACTTAAAAATACCTACATTTAAATGCTAGGAAAGTTGTCCATTCAAATAATTTTTTTAAAATTCCATTCCAACTCCTCCTGCCCCCCCCGCCCCCCCACCTTGTCTTAACAGTCACACTTACAGTCGAAGCCCCTCCAGAAGCAACTCTTACACTCACCGGAGTCGGTCGAGGTATGTAACACGCATGAAAACATTTTTTATAAACATCCTCTTTCTTAAAACGATCTTAAAATGATCATTCTTTTATAATCAATTATAGGTAGTCTTGATGACCTTGATGACCACAATTGAATGCAACATTTCTTGTTGCTGAGTGAGATAGTTATGAAGTGAGTTTCGGCCCATTTTGCCACGTTTCTTGCCACTGCAGTTGTTAAGTGAATCACTGCAGTCGTTAAGCAAGTAACACAATTCTTAAGTGAATCTGGCTTCCCCCCTCGACTTTGCTCTTGTGAGAAGTTTGCAAAAGGGGATCATGTGACCCTGGGACAGTGCTGCTGGTGTAGTATATCCATGCCAGCTGCCAAGGGTCCGAATTTTGATCACGTGACCATGAAGGTGCTGCAACAGTCATAAGTGAAGAACGGCCATAGGTCGTTTTTGTTCCGTGTCGTCTCTTCAAGCTGTGACATTAAATGAATGATTGTAAGCTGAGGACTACTTGTATCAAAGGATTATTTTTTTTTCTGGCAAGCATGGAAAAATTGAGGAAAAATAAAATTCTGCTTTAACAGGTAATGGAGAAGGAGTGTATTTATGCAAGGTCTGACATGCTTCCAAATCACATTTGAACAGCCCTCCTTCATAATTTTAACACCCTAGGGATAATATGCAAATACCTAGGAATAATGTATGGATTCAGATGTACAAGTAGTCCTTGACTTACAACAGTTCGTTTAGTGACCATTCGAAGTTAAAAATGACTTATTTGGCTGTCTCACTTACTGCAGCATCTCCAGGGTCACGTGGTCAAATTTCAAACGCTTGGCAGCAGATTCGTATTCAGGATGATTGTGATCTCTTTTCGACGAGCAAAGTCAATGGGGAAGCCAGGTTCACTTAACAACCATGTAACTAACTTAACAACTGCAGTGATTCATTTAACAACATGGCAAGAAAGGTCATAAAATGGGGCAAGGTTCTCACTTATCAACAGAAATTGTATGCTCAATTGTGGCTGTCAGTTAAGGACTACCTGTATTTCTAGTTATAAACACAATTCTGGTTATAAACAACAGATAGAACACAAGATAAAAAGCTCACAATTGTTGTGATTTTCTAGGTGTCTTTCCTTCCTTCCAAGAAGATTTGTCAGCACAAAAGATTGGCAATCTAAAAGCAGTTGTTACGTTCACAGAATTCTTGTTTTAATTATGAACAGTGGAAGTCATTCTAAATCAAATAATCCATTGCTTCTGGTTCCTTCACAAAAGCAGATCCTACACCTATGACAGTTACGATAGCCGGAGTCGCAGCCGTAGCAGAAGTAAAAGAAGTGATAGTTACCACCGGTCTCGTAGCTACGACCGACGTTCCAGGTAATTTTTTCCTAGTAGTTTGACTATTATTGGAATGGCTGGCAAACGTTGCATGCAAACTCTTGTGTTCCATTTTCAAGTCTGTTGTGTATTTGCCAGCATTTTGCAAAAGCAGAGTAAATATAGAAAGCTTCGAGACCAGTGTTTCTTCAATACTTTCGCTCTCAGGATCCCTGCCCACTTTTAAATATCATTTTAAAGAGTCTTCACTTACCATGCTAAAAATTAACATTTTTAAAATTTGTATCCTGCCTTTATTATTTTACAAATAACTCAAGGCAGTGAATGTATCCAATGCACCTTCCTCCATGACACTGAGTCACACTGTCAGCCAGATGTTTAAACTGGAACTGGCATTTCTTGTCAACCTTCACAAGATTGTAAGCTGTGCCCAAGCCAAGCTGCGTTTTGCAATTGACTAATGGGGATTTTTGTCAATGCTGATAAGGATCAAGGGGTGCTCCAGTTATTATTATGCTAGGCCGCACAGCCATCCACATGTTTAGACTTGAATTGGCAGATCTGTACCACCTCTTGAGTCCTTCCCAAGAACATACAACAGGTTGTTGTTTGACAAAGTGTTGTTGGTGTTAAAGATCTCATCAAAAGATGTCAGCTGTTCCAACTGAAACTATTTTGAAATTGACTGGTGGGGATTTTGTCAATGCCGATGGGGTTGAAGGGTTGCACCAGTTGTTTTGGGGTTGCACCCAAGGAGCCTATCACTGTTGAGGCTATCTTTGCTTTCTTTTGCCACAGTCGTTCTACTTCTGTTTGCAGTTCTTTGTACCCTGCTCAAAAAAAAAATAAAGGGGACACTTAAACAACACGATGTAACTCCAAGTCAATCACACTTCTGTGAAATCAAACTGTCCACTTAGGTAGCAACACTGATTGACAATCAATTTCAGATGCTGTTGTGCAAATGGAATAGACAACAGGTGGAAAGCATAGACTTTTAAGCAAGACCTCTCCAATAAAGGAGTGGTTCTGCAGGTGGTGACCACAGACCACTTCTCAGTTGGTCACTTCTGAATGCTGGCGGTGCTTTCACTCTAGTGGTAGCATGAGACAGAGTCTACAACCCACACAAGTGGCTCAGGTAGTGCAGCTCATCCAGGATGGCACATCAATGCGAGCTGTGGCAAGAAGGTTTGCTGTGTCTGTCAGCGTCGTGTCCAGAGCATGGAGGTGCTACCAGGAGACAGGCCAGTACATAAAGAGACGTGGAGGAGGCCGTAGGAGGGCAACAACCCAGCATCAGGACCACTACCTCCACCTTTATGCAAGGAGGGACAGGAGGAGCACTGCCAGAGCCCTGCAAAATGACCTCCAGCGGGCCACAAATGCGCATGTGGCTGCTCAAACGGTCAGAAACAGACTCCAGGAGGGTGGTATGAGGGCCTGACGTCCACAGGTGGGGGTTGTGCTTACAGCCCAACACCGTGCAGGACGTTTGGCATTTGCCAGAGAACACCAAGATTGGCAAATTAGCCTCTGGCGCCCTGTGCTCTTCACAGATGAAAGCAGATTCACACTGAGCACATGTGACAGACGTGACAGGGTCTGGAGATGCCATGGAGAACGTTCTGCTGCCTGCAACATCCTCCAGCATGACCGGTTTGGCAGTGGGTCAGTAATGGTTTAGGGTGGCATTTCTTTAGGGGGCCGCACAGCCCTCCATGTGCTCGCCAGAGGTAGCCTGACTGCCATTAGGTACCGAGATGAGATCCTCAGACCCCCTGTGAGACCATATGCTGGTGTGGTTAGCCCTGGGTTCCTCCTAAAGCAAGACAATGCTGGACCTCGTGTGGCTGGAGTGTGTCAGCAGTTCCTGCAAGACGAAGGCATGGATGCTATGGACTGGCCCACCCGTTCCCCAGACCTGAATCCAATTGAGCACATCTGGGACATCATGTCTCGCTCCATCCAGCAACGCCACATTGCACCACAGACTGTCCAGGAGTTGGGGGATGCTTTAGTCCAGGTGTGGGAGGAGATCCCTCAGGAGACCATCCACCACCTAATCAAGAGCATGCCCAGGCATTATAGGGAGGTCATACAGGCATGTGGAGGCTACACACACACTACTGAGCCTCATTTTGACTTGTTTTAAGGACATTACATCAAAGTTGGATCAGCCTGTAGTGTTTTTTTCCACTTTAATTTTGAGTGTAACTCCAAATCCAGACCTCCATGGGTTGCTAAATTTGATTTCCATTGATAATTTTCGTGTGATTTTGTTGTCAGCACATTCAACTATGTAATAAACAAAGTATTTAATAAGAATATTTCATTCATTCAGATCCAGGAGGTCTTATTTTTGTGTTCCCTTCATTTTTTTTGAGCAGTGTATTTTGTGATCTTCTCCAGTTCTTTCTCTTCTCTTCTGCTGTCTCCAAGCACTGCCACATCCACTAATCAGACGTTTTTCTCTTTCGTAATCAATCCTCGTGAACTCTGTGGTATTATGTGACAATTGCCTGTCTGTTTATCACTAAACGCTTTAGCTTTGTTTTCTGTCACTTTGTATATTATGGCTAATCACACAATCAGCCAGATGGATTTGGCATTTTTGTCTACCTCTGGAATCTTTCCCAAGGACCTGGAATAGACAGATGTAGCTGTTTGATAGGGTTAAAGGTCTCTTCACAGGATGTCAGCTGTCCCAAGTCAGGCAGCCTTCTGCAATTGACTAATGGGGATTTTGTCAAGGCCAATGGAGTACAAGGAATAACTAGCAACAAAATGCATCACTATCTCAGACAGAAGTCTTGGGTACAAATCCTGAAAATTTGCGAGCCAAAGGAGGGATAATTGTGCAATCTTGTTTCATGACGCAGATTGTACTAGCCTAACAAGCCATATTTGAGGAGGGGGTTCTGAAGGGACAAATGATAGAAGACAACCCAGAAAAACTTCTTCTTCAGGTTATGTAAAAATCTCTACAAGTAGTCCTTGACTTACGACCATAATTGAGCCCAAAATTTCTGTTCTTAAGTGAAACATTTGTTAAGTGAATTTTTCCCTATTTTGCAACCTTTTTTTGCCACAGTTATTAAGCGAATCACTGCAGTTGTTCAGTAAGTAACATGGTTGTTAAGTGAAGCCAGCTTTGACTTTGTTTGTCAGAAGATTGCAAAAGGGGATCATGTGACTCCGGGACATTGCAAACATCATAAATACAGATCAGTTGCCAAGCGCCTGGATTTTGATCACATGACCCTGGGCACGCTGTATTCGTTCTAAGTGTGAAAAACGGCCCTAAGTCATTTTTTTCAGTGCTGCTGTAACTTTGGTCACTAAATGAACTCCTGTAAGTCAAGGACTACCTGTATTTAAAGTGGAAGTGAGTGCCCGGTGTGCTATATTCACATATATTTTATCTTTCTTTGTAGATCTTACGGGTCCGAGAGCGAAAGTGACCGCAGCTATTCTAATTGCCGAAGTCCCAGCGAAAGCAGCAGATACAGCTGAGAGCTGACGGTTGATCATAGCAATTATGCATAACAGAAAGTTTTTTATGTCCGTAGCTTGGATCAACGTTTTGTTTCTGTTTTTTTTAATGTCTAGGTGAAACTAATTGCTGCCAACAGAAGTGTAGCCTTATTTAAACTCAGCACAACGTGTTTTTTTTTTGTTTTTTGTACACTCTACTATGGCAGTCATTTTGTATTGCCCAGTTTCATTTCAAACTAGATGATACAGTTGACGTGCAATCGAATGGTTCAGTTAAGCCTCTTAAATTGTTTCTCCGAAGGAAATTCGCTCGGTAACCATGAAACTGTGAAGAATCATATTATAGGAATCTCAGCTGCGATCTACCTGCTTCAAACATTGCCGTTTCAGTGCCGAACTAATGGTTCGTTGATATCTTGACAGGTCAATAACTTTGATAGTACAGATCCAGGAAGATCCCGGCTACGAGATCATTCACTACCAGAGTTATGAATTCTGGGAGTTAGATTCATCGCTTGTCTGGAAAATGTCGTGTATTATTTGGATCCCATGAGTTAAAAGCTGGTTACCATCCAGTTTCTTGATCAGTTTTGCCTAATGCTCCCTTGTAGGCGTTATCGAGGTGTGGATAGTGACGCTAGACCACATTGAGTCTCTGTTCTCTATCCATTGAAGAAGCAAGAACAATGTTCTCCTTGTCTGACATCAAGCTGTTGCGTTTTTCCCATGGTCTTCTGATTCTGGATTTTTATCATGTCTGAATGTGCTAGCATTCTCATTTTCTACTATCTCTGTCAGATCTGCAAAGGTGAGCATCTGCAAAGATAGCAAGCTGTAAATTTATTTCAGGAAGCTAACTTTCAGGAGCAATTGAATTTTATTCTTCGGTTTGAATTCAGCAGATAAAAATCCATTTTGAAATGGAAATGTCGGGATATACCCAAATTTTTGTATCGGATAGTTAACTTAAAGAAAAAAAAAAACGGAGGAAATAACTGTTATTATTTAGTGTTCCAGGCAAACGGCAACGCTTTATCTGTTAATGCCGGTCCTGAATTTGTTAAAATTTCTATGATGCCGAATCGCTGCATATTTCGTAACGGGGTGGCATAGAGCATTTTTTTGGGGAACGGCTTCAGCGCCCAAATTTCTGACTTGAGTATGAGGTGGCCATTTTGAATTCAAGAGGGAATTCAAGATCCTCCCCTTGTAGATTCTCAAAGTAGCCCGTTTCGTTTTCAAAATGGTTTGAAGGATTTCCTACGCTCCCCGCTTCATCAATTTAAATAATTTTCTTTTGGTTAGGAACCAAAATGTATTATTGAAATGATTTTTTTCCCTCCTTCAATGCAATTAAAAATAGGAATATTTAAATACAAGTTGTTCAGACACGAATTGCCTGATCTTCATTTAAAAAGCAATTGTTTTTTTTGTGGGTAGGACCTTTTTATAAATAGTCCTCAACTTGCAACCATTCGTTCAGTATCCATTTTGATGTTACGACAGCGCTGAAAAAAATGTGGCTTATGACTGCTTTTCACACTTAATGACTTAATGACCCATGATCACGTGAACAAAATTCACACACTTGGCAACCGGCTCGTAGTTAGGACTGCTTGCTGTGTCTCCAGAGTCACGATCCCTTTATTGCGACCTTCTGGCAAGCAAGGTCACTTAACTGTGTTACTCTCTTTAACAACCACAGCAATTCACTTTAGCAAGAAAGGTCGTAAAACGGGGCAAAACGCACTTGACCACTGTCTCGCTTAGCAGTGGAAATGCCCTTGATTGTGGTCATAAGCCAAGGGCTACCTATGCCCAGCAATACATCCTAAAACAAAACGTTTTTCAAATGCTGTAACTTTTTTTAAATGGATGCCTAGTCGGGGTTTCCGATTTCAATGCATGGATGGCGAGCCTTCAAGAAATCCAAGGTCTGCAGACCTTCTGAAAAACCACATGGAAAAAGACCCGGACACACACAAAAAGGCATGCCCAAGGAGCCCATCTTGATTTAAGAGACTTTGAACAATATTTTTTTAAAAAAATCAGGGCCTTTAACTTCTTACAAAGCACAGGAAGTCCTGATGCCGCCCCATGGCAGCAATTATCCGGTCAAACCAGTCGCTTCCTCAGCTCCATAGTAATTTGGAGTTCCCAGGCCTACTGATAAAATCACCTTTATGGAGCCATTCAGAAAAGCCACAACGTAGGTGTGTGTGTGGGGGGGGGGGCACGGGACAATCAAAATAACAGAACAGCATAGTTGGAAGGGACCTTGTAGGTCATCTAGTCCAACCCCCTGCTCGAGCAGGGGAGCCTACGCATTCCAGACAGACGGCTGTCCAGTCTCTTCTTAAAAACCCACCAATGAAGCAGCCCACAATTTTTGGAGGGAAGCCATAATTTTCTTTCGCTGTCAGGAAATTTCTCCTTAGTTCTAAATTGCTTCTCTCTCCTTGATTAGTTTCCCTCCATTGTTTCCTGTCCTGCCTTCAAGTGCTTAGGAGAATAGTTGGACACTCTCTTCCTTGGGGGGAACAATGGTCCATAGAAAATAATCTGGATTCCCAGCCTCATCCATTGCAGAAAATTTAGCGTTGGGACCGACTGGTGGATATTAGCCTAAGCTGGCCAAGACAGAAGTTTGCCCAAAGGTCTAAAACTCAAAACTGCTCTTTTTAAGATCTTCAATTCCCAGAATTTCGCCGTGGTCCTTTTAAAAGATGGTCTTGGTAGTCGAAAGCCAATATATCTTGGACCCTCAAGCCGCCTGGGTCAAGCGTCCCTTTTTGAGTCCTGAGAATCAGAGGGTATGTTTCGGGTGTGCCACTCCAAGGATGGCTAGTGTGGCAGCGCTCACAGCAAGTGGTGCAGTGCACCCTGGGCTCCTCCCCCCTCCGTTTTCAACTGAGGCACCGAGGTTCAAGCCCACCAGGCGCCTGTTCTTTCCAGGAAAACATGACCCCCGTCCAGATCCCCCCCCCCTCTTCCTCCTCTTGGATTCACTTTCTACACAGGGAAGCGGGACATCCTGTTTGGTGCAGTGGTCAAGGTGCTGACCTAGAAATTTGGGGGCACGGGGAGTTCTAGTCTCACCTTAGGCACGAAAGCCTGCTGGGTGACTTTGGGCCTATGACGGGGGGGGGGTGCTGGGAGTTCTAGTAGGTTTGAGTGACTTTGACTCTCAGCCCATCCCACCAGCAGGAACGTTGTTTGGGGGGAAATGGAAGGAAGTGGCTTACTCCCCATCAAGCAATTAAGGCAGAATAGCAAATAAAACCAAACAACTAAAATTATCAGACGGCAAAGAAGTCAACCCTCCCGTCCGGCTCTTAGCATCCGCAGCGCTGGCAAAGCGGGCGAACCCGGGCGCGCAGGCGCATTGAGGCGAAGCGAAGCCCAACGCCTCCGTCACCCTCCTGGAACGCTCGGCAGGCGCTGCCGGCCTTTTCCCTTCTCGCTGGAGAGCGGAGGGGGGGGGGGGGGGGGGGGGGGGGGGGAGAGAGAGAGGGAGGCGGAGCGTCGGCCGAGGATCCTTTGCAAAGCGCCGAGCATCGGCCGCTGCAGAGGAAGAGGAGGAGGAAGAGGAGCAGGGGAGGTGGGGGGGCTTACCCAGACCAGCCACATACACCCCCCCCCTTCTTTAGACGGAACAAGCGAGAAGATTTCTCTCTCTCCCTCCCCCCACCCCCGAATCCACCTTCCTCGCTCCACCCCTGGATCTTTTGATGGAGAGCGCAACCCCACCGCGAGCACAGGAGCAGCGGGGCTCCCTGGATCGGGCAGCCCGGCAGCAAAATGGTAGAGCGCGCCCTCCCCCCCTTCCACCCCCGTCGTTTCCTCCTCCTTTTTTTTTTTTTTTTTTTT